CGACTTTAATGTCCTCTCTTCAGCTTCTTGCTCTCAAAGCTGCCTGAGAGATTTTAAGATGTCACTGTTGGTTGTTATGCTATCCCTCAGGCTTTAATTTAATTTTTGGCCTGTTTTGTTTTTAAACTCTCTTTCCCTCTCTACATCCCTGTCCTGGCCTCTTCTGTATTTAAAGATAAAATAAAACAAACAAAGTTCAGGGCCTGCTCTTGGGCTGAGTATCTGTGTACATGCATGGCAGAAGAACCCACCTGTGGCTAGGGTGGGGGGGTGTTCACTTGATCAGGTACCCCCTCTAGTCACCAGAATGGAGCTGCACAAACATTGGGGGAAGGGGTAATGACCAGAAACCAAAAAAAAAAAAAGAAGAAGAAAATTAGAACAAAAGTGTATTGTCCACCTTTGCTGCTAGGCTCTTGTGGCATTTTTCCATGGTGTTTCTGCTCCCCTGATTGTTCTTGCCATTTGGTCTCACAGAAGATGTTGGCTCCAGGCCTCTGAGCCCAACAGATTTAAAAGTATGCAATTTCTTACTTTAGCTTCAAGTTCCACTAGCTATAAACCTTCAAACTTTTAAAATATTCCTAGCTATATGGTTCCAGGTTTTGGAGCTCTGCCCTGAATCTGCTTTGCCTGGTACTGTGGTATGGCTGACGGCAAGCTTCACCACCGTCAAGTCCCGCCTCCTTTGTAAGTGTTTATGGGAGCAGAAAACCTCATCTTTCTTTCAAAGGGTAATTAGTGGATTAAAACTCTTGACCTTGTTACTAACAGCCCAAAACATATTTTAACAAGCATAATGGTTACCAAGCAGGCTGTTAATTTCAAGGTTAGCAGTTTGAAACTACACAGGAAAAGATGAGGCTTTCTTCTCCAGTAAAGATTTACAGCCTCAGAAACCCTATGCAGGGTCGCTATGAGTCAGGACAGACTCCATGGCAGGTAACCAACCACCACCATACTGATACATAGTGTATTTCTCCTCAAATTTCCTTAATAATTGACAGATGATGATTTAAAAGTAATGCTGTTCTAAACATCCGCCTAAAGTCCTAGAAAAGAAAAACTAAAGACTAGATACTAATGGAAAGAGCAGTTGACAAAAGAACTGGAAGCATCTAAAACAAATACTAATGGAGTCTTCAAAGAAAACAGACAATGCGTGAAGCTGGCTAGCAGGCCAGCAGTAGCCACTGACACTGAAATTTCCCCTGGAGCTAGAGTGAGCCTTAGGGTGATTACTGATATATCATCATCACCATCATCACCATCATCTTCATCTATTAAGAATGTCAGATGCTACATGAACCATGCTAATGGGCTTACATGGATCATCTAATTTAATCCTTAAATTTAGGAGAATAAAATTTTTTTACTTCTACTTTACAATGAACCAAAATGTGGCTTGCAGAGGTAAAGTAGTTTACTCCAAATTTTATTTAGGTAGATTGAGATGTGAATCAGACACCTTTACACCCATTGTTCTTTAGTGATACCTCATACTCTTAGTATCTTGGAACTAAGGGTGGCCTAAGCATTGGGTAGGAGGAAATAACATTTACATATTGCTTTGTTGTTGTTAAATGCCATCGAGTCAATTCCAACTCATTATTTGTCACCTTATGTAGAGTTTCCAAGGAGCAGTTGGTGGGTTTGAACAACTGACCTTGCACTCAGTACCTAATAAGGTTGGATTTGTAAAAATCACAGAGGGGACCAAGACAAAGATTTTCAATTTGAAGAAGTTGTTGTGAGTCTGGGAGAGAGACAAATACCAATCACACCTAGAAGCAAAATATTTGATGTGGTGAAAAATATGTGAAATTGTTCACTACATATTATAATTGAGTGATCCTTGAATTACAATTGGGTGTGTATAGCTGCTGCCTGGGCTAGAGTTGAGGCATTGTGTACAAACCAGTGCAAAGAAATAGAGTAAAGGGTCAACAGGAAAGAGACTTCTGACATAACCACAAATCTGAATATCTCAAGAAGTGATTCAGCTATTTGATGCTAAAGACCAAATATCCATATCCATACAATTGCTAAAAATATTTCCCTCCCTTACTCAGGTACAGAAAGAGACAATGCTTTCTTAATCTCTTTATAAGTACATGCTTTATTACTCAATTCTGTCTTCCAAAGAACTTTGTTAAACAAGTAATTACAATCATATTTTGAATGAGACATAAATGGGTTTGAAACTATACTAACTCAACAAGGATCCTTGGGCAGTTTCCTTGTCTTCTCTGAAATATCTTTTTTTCACATACTTAAAGTAAAAATTATTCAGACTTACTGATTAGTGACATATAATAACTAACTGAGACAATGGATGAACAGTACCTAGCATTTAGTTGGTTTTAACTCATTACTTAATGTTAGGCAAAACTTAATTTAACTTGTAATGACGTGCCAAGGAGGTACACACAAGATGATTTAATATCATTCTAGTTCTTACCTTCTTGGACTGGGCATATTTTAGCTCAAACTTATATAGATAAATAAGAACCAAAGCTTTCAGGAGATGGTGCAAAGAGCTCAGACTTAAACAGATATTTGTTATTGTTCTTTTTAACTGCCGTCGAGTTGGTTCCAACTCACATCATGGCAAGCCAGTATAGGGTTTCCCAGAAGTGACTGATGAGTTTGAATCACTGACCTTGTGGTTCAAAGCAATCTTGTGTTCCACTGCTAATCTTACAGTACTCATTGATAGTATTTAAGTAATAGTAAAATAATTTCATTCCAATGAAAAGTGCTTTAGATTTGATTCTACATGTCTTTGGTTCCAAACTGCACGTACTATCTGAGATCTTGAATAAGTAACCTACATTAAATGAACCTCTGTTGTCTCTTCTGGAAACCAAGGAATATAATGCTCAGATTGCCCAATTTTATTTAGTGCTTTTTAATGACATTAGAGGGAATAAAGGCACTAATAATTCATTGTTGTTGTTGAGTGTCCTTGAGTCGACTCCAATCCATAATTACACTGTGTGGGGTTTTCTACCAGTAGCTAGTGGGTTTGAACTGATGACCTTGTGCTTCATACTAACCTTGCAGTTTAGCACATTATCCTACAGCTCCACAAAGGACTCCAAAAATGCATAGGAATCTTAATGTAAGATTGGTTCATTTACCATTTACATAAATTGGTTCACTTACTGGTTCCTTCAAAATACATACACAGGCACACACACATATATTCACATATGCACATACAAACACACAGATAGCCCATTCAAAACAAAAGTTTCTACTTGATTCAGTAATAGAAGGAGAAATAACTAATTGACTTGAGGCCTCTTAGAATACATTTTATCCAGTTGTTGTTAAGTGCTGTCGAGTGGATTCCGACCCACAGCAACCCTGTATAGGATTTCTAGGGAGCACCTGATGAGCTTGAACCACTGACCTTACAGTTCAAATGGCTTTGCTCTCTGGCGCATTAACCCACAGTCCCACACTAGGACTCCTTTTATCCAGTGACTAACTCCATATTGTATTAAGATCCTTATGCATTATTTTAATGTGGAGAGGTCATTGAATAAAATGTATTCTAAAAGGCCTAAGTCAATTAGTTATTTCCCCTTCCCCAATCATTGAATCAAGTAGAAATTCTTCTTTTGTTTTGAATTGACTGTCGATGTGTTTGTATGTATATATGTGTATATGTGTGTGTGAGAGTGTGTATGTGTTTCTGTGTATTTTTAAGGAGCTGGTAAATGAACCAATTTATGTGTTTATATAACTCTAGTTATGCTTACACATTGAAATGTGTTGGCTGAGTTCCAAACCCTAGTATATCAAGTAGTAAACTACTAGGAAAGTATACTATGCTTTGACTATGATAGGAACTGTGCAATCCAATAGACATGCCTTTTACAAGCAATAAAATGAAGCTGTCAGCCATTGCAAATGGACCAAGATAGAGGCCACATCACTAAGCCAGACAGTCTCTGATGTATTTTATCCCAGCTTCAATCTATTAATCAGAAGAGTTGGGAGAGCAATAATTTAAATGCTGCAATAATCAATTCCACAACACATGAATAGAGGCTACCCTCAAACTTTGCCACACCACTGACTGCATTGGAATCTTGACAGGAGCCGTAGGGCCATGCCTAATTTGCATTAAATTTACATAAAACTGTAAATCAAGACCACATGAACACAGCTCAAATATTTGTTAATGCTTAGATCTTTCCTGATAGATGGATTGAAATTGCTGATGGTTTGACTTCGCTTGCAATAAAATTGTGCAGCTGATCAACTTTGCTCTCATTCTGCAATTATGGAAAAAGGGACCCAAGAGAGTTATAGTTTAGGGGTATGTACATGCTATCTAGGTTTTTATTCTGTAAAACAATGACTCAGATGTGCCCTTGGAAACCCCAATCTAGAAGTAGATTATCCCCAATGACTTTGAGAAGCCTTATCACTGGATTTGCTCACAAATAACTTGTCATTAAACAGATATGCAAACTATATAGAAAGCTGACCAACTGAGATGATGTGAAAGCCCCTGAGAATTTGTTTTTTTTTTATTTTTTATTTTTTACTGTTCTGTAAACAGATAGTGATATTTTTCAGGCTGAAGAAAGATAAAACCAAATCATACATTTAACAAATCATCCAGTATCTAACAGGGTGATAAAGTAAACGTCACATGGTTAAAAGTATGCTGTGTCATCTTATGTCCCTGTTTTAATTTGTTCCAAGTGTGTAGCCCTTATTATGTGTTTTTACACTCAGGAATTGGAGAAAGTATTCTCACCAAAGGTACCGGTGAACCACTGCAAAAGTACTCTGTATATTCTTATAATTCCTTTCATTCTAAGTCTATTTCAATAGAAAGAAAACAGATTGTTTAGTGCAATAATGTCTGGAAGTGTTCTGACTCCCTTACTCCCTAATTCAGGAAGGATTTTGCAAATATTTTGTGCATCATGTTAATACCATTTCTCCTCTACTACCACCTATCCCATTTTTCTTACCTTGCACGATCAAGTAAACTTGGGAGGTCTTGGGCTCATGCTGTGTCTGAACTGAGCAAGTGTAGGAACCCTCATCATAGACATCCACCTTCTGAATTCGGAGGCTGTATTCCAGAGAGTGACGCTTTTCCAGCTCAACCCGAGGGTCCAGAGACCACTTGTCATGTCCAGCGAAAATGATGCCAGAACGGTTCAACCACGCCACCTTCGAGTTCTTATCATCTACAAAACACCTGGTAAAGGAGAATAACAACATTAGAATATTAACTATAACGGAATCTGCTGTCACTTTCCACATGATCAGACTTAACAAGACCAGTGGGGGGAAAACAATTATATGCAAGATGTAATCATTGCAATTTCATTTCTAATACTCCTAATTGTTTTCACAATTTCTCCTTTAAGATCTAATTAATACCATAATCTCATGGGACAACTCAGTCAGTTGGCATAACGTAGTTCATAAAAATCAGGATCTTCGTCCTTGTGATGTGAGTAGAGTGTAGGGTCTAAAACATTTCCATGTGGTCATCTAAAATAAAACTATGGGTCCGTACTAGCCAGGAGCAAAACAGTAAGAATGTAATCAAAAGCTCAGAGAAGAAAAAAGTCTACACAAGTCACAACTTCATCTATCCTGAGACGAGAAGAACTGGATGGTGTCTGGATATCACCACTGTCCATTGTGACTGATGTCACAATAGATGGTGGTCTTGGATAGAATTGGACAAAAATGTGGAGTAGAACACAAATTCTTATAAAGTATGTTTTTAGAAAGCCAGCAAACTTCATTAGTAGAGATCAGAGGATTCCCTGAGAATATCTCCCTGAGACATGATTAAAAATTAGAATTGATCCTATCCCCTGAGATCGCCTTTTAGTGAAACATTAGAAGGGCATACAAAATAAAGGATATTATCCATAAGATTGGTGTTTACACTTAAAAAAAAAATATTCCTGTGTGAACACAAGGTCAACAATTACTCAAAAGCATATTAAAATATAATCTGAGTAATAGTAATGCAGGAAAACGTAGCTAACTGATAAATGGCTTTCCACTGGATTATCTTGTTTGTTTGTTTGTTTGAGTTTTGAATAAGATCTTTTACATAGAACTCTATCTGCGTTAAGTTTTAACTTTGAAATGTAGCCAGCTGATACTGTGCCACTTTTACTCAGTCTTGAATTATGTTGTTGTTGTTGTTAAGTGCCATTGAGTTGATCCTAATGCATAGCAACGCAGTATAGGGTTTCCAAGGAGCAACTGGTAAGTTTGAACTGCCAACCTTGTGTTTAAAACCAATCTTGTGGTCCAGTGTTTTATCCCACAGAGTCACACCAGGACTATACTTATTTTTTAAATAGGTATGTTCTGATAGTCTTTTGTGGTATAGTAATGGGTTATATTCCAACTCTGTAGTAATTAGACTAGATTTTAGAGTTTGCCTCTGATTCTTGCAATTTTGGAATGCTCATTCCCAGGAGTGAGCTATTACTGGGCACCAAGTCAGGTCCAATGATAAGTGAACAACTGTGTGTTAAGGGACCAAAGCAAGCATCATCTAGCAAAATTTTGGCTTCAGTTGCAGAAGGTAGTAGGTTGTCTGCTGGAGAGATAGGTTGCTACCAGCATTTTGGGCCCATAAGAACGAGTCCCACCTTTTGTAAGAGATGAAGAAACCAAGATCATATTCCATGTTTCAAGAAAGGTGAAGGAAAAAAGGCTTATTTGAATTACTAATTACTTTAGAAACCTAAAAGGCTCTTTTTCTCTTGAAAGAAAGTGGAGAAAAATTCTAGATTATAGAGAAGGGGTAGATACTTTAGAGAAGTGTGCTTTTCTCCTTCAATTCCAGGAGGAATATGGCAAAGGAAACACATAAACAAAATTTCTCTCTTTATCCTTTTGGAAAAATATATGTCTGCAACATAGGGAAATTGTCTCAGTCCCTGTTCACAGATGTAAAACCAGCTGCTCAGCACTTTGGAGTGTGAGGGGGTGGAAAGAAGGAGTCCCACAGCAGAACAATTAAAACAGCATGTTCCATGTGATTTCCAAACCAAGTCAAATCCAAATTTACACTCAGATCAAACAGCCATGCATAGAGAGACCACACCCATGACACTCAGGAAATTGATGCAGAGCCCACATGCTGTCTACCATAGAAACACCTCTCCTAAGGAGAAAGATGAGTCATCCAACAAATACCATAAATGGGCAAAAAAAAAAAAAAAAAAGTTCTCCTTATCCCACTATAGATGAAGTTTACAGTTTATCTAGAATGAGAATTTCATTTAAGGAGGTGGTGCCAAGATACTCAAATCTTATGACCTTCTTCACCAACTTGTTTTCATAAACATACCTAGATTAAAACATCATTTAATATCTCTACTTCTCACTATGTGACTCTGTCATGCAGATATTGTTAAGACTAAACACATGTGTTGATAATTTTGAGCTAACTTTATGACACTTTGTTGCTTCATTTCAGCTTTTATTTGATTTCTCCTGCTCTACTTTTTATGACATTAGATCTGTTGTATTGCTTTTGTGTGTATATGTGTGTGTGTGTGAATCATTTCTCTGTCTTTGCTGGTGTTTTTCGTAATTTAGACTCACTCAGGAAATCAGACTACTTTAAATACAAATGTTTATCCACTGAAAACCTTACAAATAGTAGTGGAACACTGTCAGCACTAGAATATTGAATATTGAAAAATGATGAATAGCACTAGAATATTGTCAGGTATAGTGCCAGAAGATAAATTCCTGGCCAACTGATTGGAAGATATCCATGATTGTGCCTATTCCAAACAGAAGTGACCCAAAAGAATGCAGAAATCATCCAAAAATATCATTAATATCACATACAAGTAGAATCTTGCTAAAGATATTTGGAAAATGACTGCAACATTACACTGATCACTAGAGGTTCAAGCAGGATTCAAATCAGAATATTGAAAGAGAGATATCATTACTAACATCAGATGGATCCTGAATAACTGCAGAGAATACCAGAGCAATGCTTACAAGTGTTTTATTGAGTATGCAAAGGCTTCAGACTGAGTGGATCAAGACAAGCTATGGATAACATTGGAAATAACGATTATTCCGGAACACTTAACTGTGCTCATGAGGAACTGCACATAGACCAAGAGGCAGTCATTGTATATGATAGAATTAATGTAAAAGTAAACTCCCCCCATGTAAACTACCATATAATTCACAATAAAACATAAAAAAAAAAAAAAAGAACAACAAAAGAGGCAGTCATTGGAACAGAAAATGGGGACAATGACTAGTTTAAAATCAGGAAAGGTGTGCATCAGGGTTGTATTCTTTCAATATACTTGTTCATTCTGCTGGATGAGCAAACAGTACAAGTAGGGTTATATTAAGAAGAACATGGCATCAGGATTGGATGAAGACTCATTAACAACTTGTGATATGCAGATTTTACAAGCTTGCTTTTTTTTTCATGTTTTATTGTGAATTATATGATATTTTACATGAGAGAACTTTAATTTTACATTCATTCCATCGTATATCGATTCATTGCCATGGTTCCAATCCCCTCCATGCATCATCAACCGACCAAAGGGTATACCCTATAAACCCGCCCTCTACACTCCGCCCCACCCCCACCCCCATTCTTCAGGACCCAGTCCCTCTCCCTCTCTGGATCCAAAGTCCCCATCCACTTCATCACTCCACGTCATCGTCTCTGCCTCCATCTTGGGCCTCGCTGCTTCTCTGGGTAGGGTCCCGCTCTCGGCTCTTCTCCATTGATAGTCCCAGAGTCCCAGAGACCTCCGCTCCTAGACAATCTGTCTAGGTGGAGCTGATGAAATAAAATGCAGAACGGTGACTTGTGATACAATAGTGAATGATTATTATCAGGACTGATTGTGAGGGTTGGAAATGTAAAGGTAGATGTTTGGTAGCAAGGAAGGGAGTTATTAACCTTGCTTTTTGAAAGTGAAGATGAGTTAAAATACTAACTGATGAAGATCAAAGACCACAGCTTTCTGTACTGTTTGCACCTCAATTCAAAGAAAACAAAAATCCTCAATATTGGACCAGTATATAACATCATGACAAATGGAGAAAATATTGACTTTTCAAAGACTTCATTTTGCTTGGATCCATTATCAAGACTCATAGAAGCAGCAGTCAAGAAATCAAATGACACATTGAATTAGGCAAATCTGCTGCACAAGCCCTCTTTAAAAAGTTCAAAAGTAAAGATAAAAGTTTGATGAACCTGACCCAAGTCTTGGCATTTTCCGTAACTTCTTATGCATGTGAAAATTGGACAGTGAATAAGGGAGACAGTCAAATAATTGACACATTTCTGTTATGGTGCTGGAGAAGAATACTGAAAGCACCATGGACAAACCTGTGTTGGAAGATGTACAGTCAGAAGGCTCCTTGGAAGCCAGGATGCTGTGCCTTCTTCTCTTATACTTCAGACATATTATTAGTAGGGACCAGTCTCTGAAGAAGACATCATTCTTGGTGAAATGTAGAGTCAGCGAAAAAGAGGAAGATCCCCCATTAGTTAGATTGGCACAGTGGGCAGCAGCAATGAGCTCAAGAATAATGACAGTGAAGTTGGTCCAGGACCTAGCAGTTTTCGTTCTTCTGTGTATAAGGTCACTATGTGATGAAACTGACTTAATGGCACCTAGAAACTACATCAACTATATCTTCATCTATGTACAGGTTTCAAATGAGCACAATGAATTGTTCTGGAATTCCCTTGCTTCATAATATCATCCATGATTTGTTATGAACCACAAGTCAAATGCTTTTGACAATCAATAAAACACAGATAAACACCTTACTGGTATTATTTGTTTTCAGATAATTGCCACCAGACATTAGTAATGACATCCTTTGCTCCACTCCTTCTGAATTTGGTTTCACTTTCCAGCAGTTCTCTGACAATTTACTGTTTCCATCATTTTTCCATGGACTTTTTGAAGTTTTATCATACGATATTATTGATGTCATTCCACAGTTCATCTGGTCTTTGGTAATTATTGTTCAATCCATCAAATCTACCCTTGAGATGGTCTCTAAATTCAGGTGCCATATACTCTATTATGCACTATGGTTATCATGGATTTACTTAGTGTTCTTCATCTTTAACTTCATCTTGCATTTAAGCAATTGAACGTCTGTTGGCTCCTTGCCTTGTGATACTGAACGTATCTATGGTCTCTTTCT